TTTGAAATGTAATTATTATGTGTAAATTTGTGCAATTAAAATTTTTCGATGTGCAAGACTTTTGTCCAGGTAGTGTAGTTTAGATACATATAGTGTATATTACGACCCGCAAACTTGACTATATATAAGATCGGATGTGTCAGAGACGCTAACTCCGCTATAAAGCTCGATAATTAACTTTACCTTTTACTCTACGCTTTAGAATGGGGCGTTTTCTTACCGCTTCAGTCTTATGCATATGTATAACTTCTATTTCCGAACTAGATGTGGATGAATCGTTCGTTGTCCGAAGTATCCGAATCGGAAGTTACAGAGATGCTTGATTTGCGGGGCAGTGCCATATTTTTCAAGCAAAATGCAATGTGGATTGTCATCTCAACATGTCATTATTAAGTTTGCCAAAAAGGTATTCAGAGGCATGTCACAAGGCATACTACACATCAGGAATTGCACCAGAACTGCTCACCTGTGAATGGATGTATGTTGTTATCATGGAACTGCTTGAGAAATACAGTTCACTGTTCTCTCTTGCACAAGAACAAAAGCTCTCACAGTTAGTGGAGGAGAAAGTTATAGAGTCAGTGAAAAAAATGCACAGCCTGGGCTTGCAAACATAATGGTGGGCCCTAATGATTCAATAAAAATAATAGATTTTGATTGGGCTGGCAGGGCTGGGGAAGTGGTCTACCCACCCTTCATGAACAAAGAGATTGATTGGCAGCCTGGTGTCAAGGTTGGAGAGAAGATCCTGCCAGAGCATGATCCGGGCATGCTGGATAATGAGTTCAAAAATGTCTAGAATGGATATTATCTTATGTATTTAGTTTCTTCAAACAATTATTATGACAAAAAAAATCGAATTGAAAAAAGAATAAGGAAAAAATTCTAGTTCCTGGTTGTCTTTATTGCCTTACCAATTTTCCCAATAGTGATGAGAAAACAAGAGTAATTAAAGATTTTTAGTAATTCTATGTATTAGTATGACACACATGTGTTGTAGTCTGTGATTTCCATTTACACACAATATATATAATTCTGTGAAGCTTACCAGGCAAGAATATTCAATGCCATGTACAGTATGTTATAAGATTTCGAAATAAAATTTACATGCTTTGAAAATGGTTGTCGCACAATATCCACTGAACATAAATAGAGAACGTTTCTACCTTTAAATATTAATGCGTAAAATATTTTTTGCCATACTTCTCTGTTGAGAATAAGATTATCTTTTGCCATGTAAATAGCGGATAACTTTTTATGCAACATCAGTGCATTAATTATTAATGACGCACAAAGAAGTAATAGCTTTGATAACGTTTTGCAGACTAAAATCTCAATTTAAATAGTTTCCTTGTAAGCGACACTTGCATGAGTATAATTTTAAAACTTATTTTAGACGCTTCCTAGTAAATTATATTGGTAATGTTCAAGATACACGCAACTATTTTATGAAATAATAACTGATTCCAATTTTATTATTATTATTATTGAGCCTCAATAACTTGACGCGAACGATATTCAATATTTATGTATATCTAATTTGCTACATGCAATACAATTTGTTTGATCATATTTACCATACATAGTAACTGAGAACAGATCGACCATTCTGATTAGTAAATACATCCATTGCCTATCCCATGTACATACAGTACGTTTACTAAGCAAAGTGACAATTTTGTATCATCTTAAAGCTAATTGTATTTTGGATAAAAGCAATGTTTGTTACATTTAAAAATTTATTGTTATTAAGTTGTAGTTTGTTTATCACTAATACAGTCACAATCGGAGATAAGAGTCTTATTATTTGCGGGGTGAAAACGGCCTTTTTTTTTAGATTGCAGCATGTTTTAAGCAAAATATTAAAAATAAAATAAAATAAGTATATCGGGTCTCATATTCGCGCTCTGTGCAAATAAAATTGCACCCTAGTTTTACAAAAAGCTAAGAGTGGGTGCGTTAAAAATGTGTTGAGTGGTAATAATAGTTTAGCACAACATTTGGTTAAAGAGCCGCCTGCACATTTTAACTACTCCTTTAATTATATTGTGCGACCAATATCGTTCGGGCAGCCCTAGACTCTGTGAAATAATAAGAAGACTGTCATATAAAATTTCAACACATGCCTAAAGGAGAGAAGAGGTTGTGAATTATCATCTTGGGTGATTTTTTTTTCATGTTCAAAGAAAAGAATGTCCATTTTAGCATTAGAAAAAAGTTGTCGATAGCAGTAGACCTTTATATTGTCGGATCAATATACGTGGGAGGTTCGTATATCGACTTTGAAATTTAGCTGTTTCCAACAAGGCCTCTACTCTATAACGACAGTCTCGAAATACGATGCTATGTATACGCTGTCCCTAAATTATTATTTCGTCTATGGGATTAGTTTCAAAAGCCTATAGATCGGGGGTGTATTCTACATAATTTTACCAACGATACCAGGGAATGAATCTGTTGAACCACTGATGGGAGCGTGATTTTCACTTCAGTGAGGATAGAAAAGGGTCTTTTAGGAAAAGTTGGTGATGTGTAAACCTAGGCTACGAAATTTCATTTATGTCACGTCAACGATGTTGCGGGAACGCCACGGTGGTACTATTACGTAATTATTTTGAAACTGCGCCTAAACGTCAAAATTTCTCAATTTTATTTTTATTGCACAAAATGTATCATTTCCGACAGTATATCTTTCTGCGCCCAACATCGACTGTTCGTGCCTTCCATCAAATCGTATCAAATACTTTAATATCAGAGAACTCGTCAAGTCCGTTTAAACTACCGCCGAGGAAATCGACCATGAAAACAAAGTTAGTATCCATTGATCCAAACTCTTTTTCGTTTGTAGACGGTCTCGAAGACCCGACGTTCACTACTACAGATCCGAATGCTGAAAAAATACTATCTAAAGCAGCACTATTATTAAAAAACAATCAAGTAGTAGCAATACCCACAGAAACGGTGTATGGCTTAGCGGCCAATGCTCTTAATACAAGGGGTATATTACAAATTTATGCGACAAAGAATCGACCGGCAGATAACCCACTCATCGTTCACGTATCCTCTCTAAAAATGCTTCGATCCCTCCTCATGAACGAAGAAATCCCACAAATATATCACTCGGTCATACATAAATTTTGGCCAGGCCCTTTGACCATACTGTTTCCCAAGTCGTCACTCATCCCGTCCGAAATAACATGCAATCAAGAAACAGTAGCCATCCGATTTCCATCACACCCAATTGCCCGAGCATTAATATCTGTTTGCAAATTCCCGTTGGCTGCACCGTCTGCGAATGTTTCCGGTAGACCATCACCGACCTTGGCATCGCACGTTATGGATGATTTGAACGGAAAGATACCGATGATAATTGACGGTGGGCAATGCAGTTTTGGTGTCGAATCCACTGTTCTAGACGGATTGCATGTACATGGCCCAGTCATACTTAGACCAGGTGGAGTGACATACGAGGCATTGATAAGTATACCGGAAATGAGCGGGTTAAGAGTATATAAAAAGGACTTTGTAGATAAGGATCTTGAAGCGACACCGACTACGCCCGGGATGAAGTACAGACATTACTCACCCAATGCACAGGTTATTCTCCTCGAAGGGAATGACGTGCATAACATTAGAAAGCTCGTCGAAAGTGAGGTCGCCAATGCCGTAAAGAGTGGAAATAAAAAGATCGGAATCCTACGCACCACGGGAGTGTCAGATGTTCAGGGCGAGTGCCACACGCAAGAGGTAGGTAATGGAATAGAGGATATGGACAATGTGACAACGTCACATGAAACGATAGAATATATCTTGGGAAACGCTGAACGACCACAGCAGGTCGCCCAAGAGCTATTTAAAGGTCTGAGATATCTTGATGAGCAAAAGGCGGATTGTATAATAGTGGAAGGAGTGTCGGAAGCGTATGAGGGACTGGCTGTTATGAATAGATTAAGAAAGGCTGCTACTAGGATAGTAACGTGAGTACAAATAAAGCATTCGATACAACCTGAAGGTAGAATGATATTGTGGCATTATCGGTTTCTTGTCAAAGTGAGTTGTAATTTTTTTTTTCTCAACTCTTCAATATGCTCAAGTGAAAATGTATCATCCATTCTCTGTGAATACTCGAAAGCAGTAATACTCTATGCAACCGTCTTCAATATGTTCAAGTGAAAATGTGTATCATCCATTCTCTGTGAATATTCGAAAGCAGTAATACTCTATGCAACTGCTAATATCTCAGAACGTTTATGACTTGCTTTTTGTTATTCGACTTGATCGTATCCTAGTCATGAAAATGTGAAGGCGCGTTTAATCACGTGATACTATGCGCATTGTCCAACCTTAATATTACTATGTGCTTTATAGTATAGACAGACTCTTTTGCCCTGTCTACCCAGCATACTTTGACAATGAATAATACAGCAACACCAAGCCCGCCGAAGAGACAGTTGTCCGAGAAAATCTTAAACCTTGGTGTATGTAGCTCTTTTCCATAAGCGTGGTTTAGTAATTATGGGGCAGTTCTATTGATGCCAGGTAATTCTTCCAGTTCATGAAGAGAAACCAAGAAGCTGCCTTCAGACAGGAACTCGAAAGAAGAAGAGAAAAGGCTTTGTTAGAAACGCGATGGCAAACCAAAAGAAGGAAAATAGCACGGCCGTAATGTGTTTTACTGAATTATTGCTTGTGTGCGAATGTCAAGTATAGAGTAGTTTCTTAGTATTCTGCACTCTTTTTTATTGTCTGTGTATGTGTAAAAGAAAACACAAAATAGAATACGAGACTAGTTTTCTTCCCTTTATGAAATCAAAGCCAAATGGAAAAATGACTTTTACAAATGAAAAGTCTAATATAAGTACAGAAAATGTCCAGCAAGTAGGTTAATTACATTGTAATTTTCGAGATCGAGTAAAGCTATCTGGATTCCTCCTTCATTTCTGACTCTTACGCATTATTGACAGTTCCTGGCTGAAAAACGAGCACAGAGAGAAGCAATAATAGCAGAAAGAAGAAAATTGGCAGAAGAGAATTTTGCCACGAGGATTCAATCCGATGAAGTGATAACAATCGGTGCCGAAATAAGGAGAGAAAAGAGAAGATTCATGAAACCTCCGGAATAGTACGTATGTATTATATAGTGCATAGACCTTTAAGACAGAGAACTAGCAACGATATGCCCGGAATAGCTTACATCCGGTTAGGGTTGAGGTTTATGATTTCATAAACGAATTTAACTTTAATTAAAATCTCAAATTGCCAAAAGACAAGTCTAAACTCTAGTGTGCTTCTAGGTGTGAAAATGTATAGCAATAATTATTCTTCTTCCTCGTC